CTTGTCCTCTCCATCTGCATCTGGGTTCTGCTTCGACTCAGTGTTTATGTATGGGTGTTTGCCCCTGTTTCCAACAGGCATTAGATGAGGGAGTGACTGAAACAGTTTATCCCCATCAATGTTGTATAAGGGTTCTACTCATACATCATCACCAGAGATTATTTTCATTTACTGATTCAATGATAGCTATTCTACTTGGCTGTTATTATGGAATATTAAACTGTTTTAATTTGCATTTCCCTGATGGCTGGTGATGTTGAACAGTTTTTAAAATATTTATTGGCCATTTGTATTCTTTCTTTTGAAAACTATCTGTTCAGCTCATTAGCCTGTTTATTGATTGGGTTATTGGTTTGTTGGTGTTTAAATTTTGAATTATGTATTCTAGATGAAAGAAACCCTTCTGTCCAAGAATATATTGGCTAAGCATTTTCTCAGTGTCTAGGCTCCTTTCACCCCGGCAATTGTTTCCTTAGCTGCGCAGGAGCTTTTTAATGCTATACCATCTGATTTGTCAGTTACTGAAATACCTCTTGCGCTGTTGGAGTATTACTCAGGGAGTCGTTGTGCCTTAATCTTGAATGTTTTGCTTGGGCTGTTCTCTAGTAGTTTCAGATTTTCAGGTCTGACATTAAGATTTTGGTTCGCTTTGGATTGATTGCGACAGGAGAGAGAGGCACGAATCTGTCTTCATTTTTCTATATGTGGGTTGGAGGCTTATTCTGGTGTTAAGTTTGTATTGGGTGAGCATGTGGTGTCTCCTGGAGATTCTCTCTTTTAGTAGATTTTCGTTTTTCAACCCAGGAACCCCTAAAGAGCATACTTAGCCTTGCAATCTGTGGTTTGGATGGGCTCTTTCACCCTCTTGGGACTCCTAGGATGTCTAGTGTTCTCTCTGAGAGTGCCTTCCAAGTGTGTTGGGAACATGGGAAACAAGAGAGCTGAGGTTTGTCCAAGTAGAGGACCCATCTCGGGAGCTTCATATTTTCAAGACTTGTGCGGCAGGAGGAATGCAGCTGCGTGTATCTGGGAGTCCTCTGGGGCTGCAGAGTCTTGGGCTCTAGCGGGGAACAGCGGGTGGGTGACTCCAGAGGTTTATCTACTCACTGATGTCAGGCCGTCAAACCCCCGGGTTATTATCAGTTGTTGAAATCTGCTCCTGGCCATTGAGGTTGTGCGAGTGCACGTGTGTGCGAGCATGGATGTACATCCGTGTTACTGCTCATATGCACGTTCAACCCCAAGTCTCCTGTCCTTTACTCCTGTCGGCTCCTCAGCATCCGCCCCCGTCACTCTCCTTCTGCCCCACAGCTACCTTCCGGAGCTCTCTTTCTCCCTGGAGGAGATTTGAGTTCATGCTCCCTGTCTAGAACTTGTTCACTGTTCTCGGGTCTCTAGGATAGCACAGTTTCAAGCAAGTGATTCCCATTCAAGGTAGCACCTCGCCTGGGTCATACACAGTGACAAGGATTCCTGTGACCCAGCCCTGGGTCATACACAGTGACAGAGATTTCTGTGACCCAACCCTGGGTCATACACAGTGACAGGGATTCCTGTGGCCCCCAGCCCTGGGTCATAAGCAGTGACAAGGATTCCTGTGCACTGCTGGTCACCCACTAGAGGAGCCACTGTCTAAAACCCACAACTGGCAGCTTGGAAGTATTTTTTAAGTCCTGAATGTAAGACTGCATACATTCTTCCCACCCCCAGTTTTATTTATTTTTTTATTTCATGAGAATGAGTGTTTTATTACATGTATGCATATGTACCACATATGTCTGTATGCATGGAGGCCAGAAGAAGGTATTGAATGCCCTGGAACTGAAGTTGCATGGTTGTGAGCTGCCATGTGGGTGCTAGGAACTGAATCCCAGCCTTCTCCAACAGCAACAAGTGCTCTTAACTGCAGAGCGGTCTCTGCCCATCTCGTCATTAGGGCCAGCTGGCTTACTTTTCTTGCCCCCACCATGGCATTTCATGGCTGGAGTGAGCTTGCCTTGTTTCCTTTCCCACCCATCCACTTCTCCACACTTTAGTTGTGTCGGATCACTGCTTTGTGGATGTCTGAGTTTCCTCCCATTTCTTTCACTGCAACAGAGCCTATTTTTCCGTCATTCTGATTCTTCTTCAGGTAGTCACGGGGAGGCAGCCTGTGCCTTTACTCATAATTTCAATCCGGCTATTTAGTTTGATCAAGATTCATTTTGTAGTCTATACCTGCTGAGTCTACTAACTAAAAGTCTGTGGGTCAGATTTACTAAGTATTCTCTCTGCTTCTCCCTTTTGTTTCTTTATGCCTTTGGGTAGTTTGTGAGATGTGTCTACAAGCTCGCATTTCTTAGAATAGACTGGAATCCCTTGAAGCTTAGAACGAAGCCTGATCCCTTTAGAGAGTTGCCTAAGAATCAATCTAACGCTGTCTTTACATTTTATTTTATGTGGCTGGAAGAGGTTTTTATAAACCAAATTCTCAAGGGAAGATTTCTGTTGATCCCCTTCACAATGGAGTGTTTTGGCGAAGGCATTCCCCTGGAAAGTGAGGGGGGAAGGTGAAGGTTTGTTGTAAAGCCCCTTACACTGAGGGTGCAAATTGTCCGGCCCTGGGGCATAGGTGGCAGTATTCTCTTACTTCCTTACCTTGTCCAGTCTTTGGGTGTCATCGGCTCTCCAGTGTTCCTTTCCTTCCCTCTTTTTATGTAGCTTGAAAAGGCTAACAAATGCCTGCAACTCAAGAACATCCAAGTCCCACATGCTTTGCTCTCCAATTAGATTTAATCTTCTTCCTGTCCCATTCTGCTCTGCCTCCCACCAGTCCAAGAAGCTGTTTGGTGGTGTGTGTATGCTCATTGGTTGCTCAGGGAAGGTGAAATGGTTGGAGGCTAGATTATCTCTGTCAGCGCCTGTAAGACCCAATTTTCCCAGCAGTCTCCCATCCAACTTCTAGCCAGGCCTGACCCTGCTTATCTTCCACTTTCGGGGTGATGTGGCTGCAGACAGGGATTTTGCTCTTAATGTTAAAGATCAAAACATATTTCCTCATAGTAACACTGTCTCCCAGTGTCCCTACCCTTTAGGCTCTTGAGAATTTCCTTTCTACTCTTTTTTTCTATGAGCTCTACAAGATGATGGCCTTCCCTCTATAAGAAATGATGCTAAGCTACTAGGAGCATATTGCAATACATTTTCTTTCTTTGTGCACCAACTAGTCTTCCTACTCCATTGTTATGCAGCCTTTTCCTTCAGAAAATGATTCTAGGAAAGAGAGTCTGTTTCCTGCTTTCATTTGGGACTTAAACAAAAGATTGCCTGACTCGCCTGCAGGTGCATGGCCTGTAGTTTGTTCTTCCCTTTCTGAACTGTCTTAGTCTCTGAACCAAGCTCACGTGGTAGCTGATACCTTCCTCTTTAGTGGAGTGGTGGGAATGGGATGTTACTGTTACAAAGTTTCTTGCCCACTCTAGTCCACTAATTATGTTTTGTTTGCTTGTTGCATTACTCAGAGGGAGGAGCAAGTCCTCACTTGTTTGTGACAGAAGTCTGAGAATAAAATTCGGACTAGCCCTTGAGATCTGTTCTCTTCATAGTTAGACACACTCATGGCCAGCTTATAGCACAGAACATTGTGACTTGTAGACACTTGAGTTAAAAGGAACTTTGGATACAGTTTAGTGCAACAACCCGATTTGTACAAGAATACTTTCTAAAACACACTGGTTGAAAGAGAGGATAAATTTATACTCAGCCTTAGGTAATTTCATGACTAATTTCTCACTGCCTCGTTTATGTGAAAGCTCTTCGAATGTGATACAGTTTTAGCATGAGAACTCTGTTCATGTTCACCGACAAATCCATGATCATTTTGAGTGAAATAAGCTTAGTTTATTTGAGTGAAGGCTTAGTTTGGCATTCTTTAAAATCAAGGCAGTAAGATTGGAGGGCATGTTTAATATCAACTCAACAACCCTTTGCTTTAACATTCTCAGTAATTCTGTCATTGTGTGGGTGAGCTCCGAGGCAGAGGCACTAGTGTCATCCTTGTAACTGTCACCATCTTTTCGAGACTCTGGCACTGGCAATGCACTTCTACATGACCACCGCAAAGTGTCTAAACCAGAGAAATACCACCCCTTAGTCTGTCAAGGGCAAAGAGGGTACTGTCTTTTGCTTGCAGGGTACAACTTCAACAAAAGGAAGACAAACCAAAATACTTGCTAACCAGGAATTGCTTTTTGTTTATTGGCTTAGGCATTTTCACCGTGCTAGTAAACTATTTTGTTCTCAAACTTACCATGGCTGCAAAAGCTCCTTCCGTCCATCTCCTTCACATTTGTGTAAGGAATCTACTAACTTAGGTGTTGTCTGCCAACATCAGTTGATCCATCCATCTACATGGTGGGTCCAAAGCTTTAGGAAATTGGGTTTTCTGGAATACCATTTCTCTATTTTATTTGGCAATATGCCTGGCAGTGAAGAGCTTTAAATTTGGCATCTGTCATTGCCTATCTTGATCCAAATTGCATAGTGCTAAATACCATGAAGAATACTGCACAGGGGAAATCAGTAGTGGGCTGTGAATGTGGTGAACTTCATATTACCATGTGCTTGAGTGCGGCTATTAGAACTGTCAGCCAGATGCTTCCTGTAGACTTCCAGAGAGGGGAAAAACTCAGTGTTACTGGGACCCAGAGGCACCAAGTGAAGTATGCAGAAAGTACATAAATCATGGGGCACATTTATTTTATTTGGCCCGTGTGAGTTCACCAACCTCACCGTAGGTGACCAAGCTCTATACCCAGACTCTCTCCCTTCTGCACTCTATGCCTTCGAGGTACCGCCCATCTAGATCAGACCCTGCAATCATTTCACACACTCCCCTAACAGCATCCTCAGGGCCTGTCATGTATTTTCATGTGTTTGCTCTATTATCCCTCCCTGCTTGAGACTCACAGATAATTGATGACGCTTTAGTTAATCATCCTTCTCCGTCTTTTGTTCACCAGGTACCTCAGCCTTCAAGGGGCCTCTTTATTGAGAATCAATGCCTCTCCTAGGTAATTGATCACCGTAGACCCAGGGACACTCGATTCATCCTGGAGGGTGGGCAATCATCATGAATAATCAAGATGCTGTGGTTTCGATATTGCATGAATGTAAGCAAGTGCTGGATCATCTCTTGCTGGAAACGCCAGATGTGTCTACAGAGGACAAGAGTGAGGACCAGCGGTGCAGAGGTGAGGTTCTGGTGGGAGACACCAGGGGTTGAGCCAGCAGCTTCAGTGCCTGCACCCTTGCCTGAATGACGCATTCTCCTCTCTGCCCTACTTTTCTTCTCCTGGCAGATGACCACCGAGAGATGAGTGGATTTCCAGGATGTGAATGGGACAGGGCTGCAGGCTGGCGGGCAGGGAAGAAGCCCACTTTGTTGCAGAGAATTGCTGTCAGTTCTAATTTTAGGCTTCAGTAAACATGAGGCTACAAGAAACAGTTTAGTTCAGGAAGAACAAAGGGTCCAAGTTGGCCGGTGCACACAAATTTCAATTATTAAAAAATCGAAGCAACTTCTGAATGGTGGCACATATTTTTTTTCTCAAACAAGGAGTTTGTGCTTCATCAGTTTCCATAGACTTCCATGGCTTCCATAAATGGGTCACCTCACCAGTATGGACAGTCTCTGTTTTCTTTGTCACCAACAAACTCCTCACGCCATTTTTAAAATACATCCAGCGATCTCAAGAAAGGTTGTTTACACCATAATCATGGTCTAGATTTTGTCTTGCTTCCTGGCTTCTGCTATTTAGAGTTACAGATGTTGTTTGAGGAGCTCAATCACAAAACCTAGAAAGCTACAAGAGCTTTATTTCTTCTTTCTCCAACTTTGGAGAGGTAACCTCTTTATTTAGGTTCTTTTTAATTGTTCAAATAATTGTCCTTCCATTTGTTTAAGTATTTTCTTTTTATGTGCCTTTAATAATTTTCCTGTATATTTTCAGTGTTTTGTTTAAAAATAGGATGCCTGAATAAGATATTCAATGTACGGAGAAGGTTCCGGGATGAGCTTTCCCCCAGTTAGGGGATGCAGGCACATCATGTCTAACAGGACGTTTTAGGTACCTATGGGAGTCTCAGCTATGTAACCCGTCATTCTTCTCCCTTCTGGATGAAGTCCTGTACATGCAGTCAGTTCCCAAAACAAACCTCAGTGTGTGCTTCCATTCACTACTAGCTGGATTTCCTGCTAGCTGCTTGTACTTGTCAACTGGGATCACAGGCTCCTCATGTCAGCCACGGGTTCCAGGCACCTGATCAATAAGTGATAGCTATCTCTGTCTCCCTGAGTTTGTGTGTACGTTCAGTTGTTTTCCTTGTTTTTCCTAGAGTTTTCCTAGTGCCCTCTTTCTGTATTGAGCTTCATATCCTCCCTATTGTAGTCTGAGGCCTCAGTCAGATGACACTTTCTTCCCAAGCGACACAGAACAGGACAGGTAATGAATTTAGTTTCAGATAAGGCAAATCAAGGCTGTAAAATCATTCCATTAGACATGGCCGTTCAGGTAAGCGTCTAGCACTATGGCCAGATAACCAGCAAAGAAGGAGTTCTCACATGCAGAGTGGTGTACTGGCTCAACCCCCGCTGTTCCTGTGGCCTGCCTCTGTGCAGAACCCCTCCTGCTCCTGTGGTCAGGTGGCTGTGAGCAGCTTTGGTCCACTGGTTGTGACACTATGGATGTTGCTACTGCCTGGAATCATAGAGAAATGTATTAGTACAGGGTCACTTGTGGGCACAACAGCTGGTGAACTTGGGAACACAGACACAGCATATTGCTTGTCTTTACCTTCAACCCCATCTCTCTCCTCCTTGCTCTGTCTGACAACCTGGGAGACGGAACAAGACCCGAAATGTAATACAGCTTTCAAAACTGTGTTTTATGGGTATCTTGCATTTCATTGTGTTCCACTGGCCTGTTTATAGTTTGGTTTGGAGAAAGGTGTGGAGGAGACATTTGTAAAGAATAAGCTTTCTCTAGGCTGGGCATAGTGGTTCCTCTAGGCTGGGCATGGTGGTTCATGACTGTCATCTCAGTATGGGAGGATCAAGAGTTTGAGACAAGACATACCCTGTTTTAATAACAGTAATAGAAGAAGCAGAAGAAGAAACATTCTCCAATATTGTGAAGAAATTACTCAATCCACGGCACAATGGAAGTCTATGAACCCAGGAATAATGGAAGTCTATGAACCCAGGAATAATGGAAGTCTATGAACCCAGGAATGGGATTTTCATTATCAAGTGACTATTCTTCCCTTTTTGTTTCTAAGATTATTTACAGTCAAATTAAGACACTAAGAATGGAAAGGGATATTATCTGTAAGTCTGCTGGACCACATGGGACCGTCCCCTCCAACAGTCACTTTACTCATTGACCTTTAGAAACACCCTTGAAGAAATTTGCTCTGCACATATGTTGCATTTGTAGAAACTGAAATTCTCTGACTAGCAGTTACACAGACGTAATTGGCAGCCAAATGTGATCATGATACTTCTAGGTTCTGCTCCCACAGGGATGCTAACCACAGAGCAGGGGCCTAGGAGGTACTGAACTGAAGCCACAATTTCAGTGGAATTCGACAGTCATCTCCGGGTGTCAACACTAGTCACTCATTGGTGTGGTCCCCTCAATGCCAAGCAGTTTTTCCCCACCCAGACTCCTTACCTTTGTTCAGCTGGTGGCAAGTTCACACAAAGATGTCCAGGACCCAGTCAGGTTTCCTTCCTTCTTATTCTGCTCCTCTGTCACACTCTATCTTCTCTATTTAGTATGTCTCGGGTAGATATAGTGCTACCTTGATGCTTTAACCATGGCAGTATGCTGCCATGAGATTACTAAAGGGATGAGATATGAAACATGATAGCTGTGTTGAGGATGCTTTCACCAGCCCAGGAGGATAGGGAGCTGTGATCCCAGAACAGTATAGGGTGCAGGCTGCAGGAATATGCACCTGTGGTTTTGGAAGCACATGCCAGAGATATTTCAATTCCACTGAGAGGTCATGACAGACTCACAGGAAGTGGCCATGTTTGTTTTGAATACCAAAGGCTGTGGGCCTGAGTTTGATCATCAGGCTTTGGGAGCAGGGCAGTCAGTTACAAACAGAAGAAAATGTGTAAAACTGAAATAACTTAAAAAAATGTTATGAAAACTGTTATCCTAGTCTACCTTGTTAGAAAAGTGGGGAGGGGCTCGGCCTTATAAAAGATTGTGAGGATGGCTGAAAATAGAGAAAATAAAGAGATGGGTTCTTAGGATCTGTGGGATTTGGTAGTTGACTCCATTGAGGGAAGGAAAGAAAGCAAATATCTAGAATGACTGGGCTTCAGATCTGGGTGTGGTGCTCCCATTCACCAAAAGAAACTACAGAGGGAATGGAATAAGAGAACAGCTGGTGAACTACGTTTTAGAGGTGTGCAATATGAGACACAGGACAAATGGAGAGAGGACCAGACAACCTTGTTCAGAACCCTGGTACTACATATACTTCAAAACAGATGGTTTCCGTTGTGGGGAAGTGTGGAGTGTGTACCATCTAGTACAGTCAACCTGAAGCAGATGATGGGCCTCAGTGTAGAACTTCTTGCTATAGAATTTTGAGTATCAAATAGGACAATCAGTCCTACTCATATATGGTGTGGTTTGGATGTCAAAACTAAGGAAATACTAATAGTTTTCAGAGCTTTTTTTGTGTGTCCCTGAAGTTTAAACAAGAGACTGTCAGCCAGGATCATTGGGATCGTACCCAGAGACTTAACCACAGTTACTAATGTGAAACGGGGCCACTTCACAATTAACTGCTATAGCCAGGAATCCCATTTGTGCGTTTGCACTTTTTGTCTGGATGCAAGCATAGCCGGTGGTTAAAGGGTAAGACGGGCCAAGGTCTTAGAGAAGCAAAAAGGAAACAAATTGATTCCCTTCTCAGGCACCGCAAGCTCAAAATGCCGTTGCACTCTAGCCCTGTTCTCACTTTACAGGGAACAGAATATTTCCTTCGTGCCTTTCTCTGATTCTTCATGCAGAGACAGTCACTCAAGTGCTTCACTTCCTGTTAAAACCCTTTCTCAATGCCTGACTACCCCAGTTTACCTGTAGGGCACAGTAGAGTCAGGCCACCCATGACAGATAGCTCCTTGCTATTATTCTTCAAGGTAGCCCAACAGCTTGGACCAGCCAGCCACAGATAGGAAAAGTGTTTTAGCCCCTGAGGTGCTTCACCATAACACAGGGAGCTCAACCGTCCTTCTTTTGACTGCAATTTCCTTAACTGAACTCTGACCTTTTCAGCCTCACTCCCCAGCGAGTTAAGGACCCTGATCCAGGAGGCAAAGGAAATGAAGTGGCCCTTCGTGCCTGAAAAGTGGCAGTACAAACAAGCCATGAGCCCAGAGGACAAAACAAACCTGCAAGATGTGATTGGCGCCAGGCTGCAGCAGTTACTGGTAGGAAAAGCCATACCACCTGTTCCCTCTGACACCCCCACGTGAGACATTTAGACGCTAAGTGGCCCAACAGATTAAATTTCTCTGAAGTACAAGACAGATCCTACTCATATAGTCAGCTCTGCCAGGTTGACTAATGTGGGGGGAAACAGCTATTTTAAAAGGTCGTTTTCCTGAAGGCCCCTGTGTTAGAAAGACAAACCTGATGTGAGTGGAGAAGGGCGGGTGGAGGACACAGTCTGAAGCCTGTTGTCTTGACATAGTCCCATCTTCTGGGTGGACCTGAGTTGTTTTGGTTTTACTGTGTGTTAAGACATTTTTATTTTGAAATGGTACTTTCTAGAACTTGGATAATTTTTAAAAACGGTATCTCCCCCACTGTCTCGTGTTGATGGCTAAGCTACTGGTCCGTGGCACGTCATTTCTGCTCAGCATAGCCGTCCTGTTCACTCTCTTGGCTCCTCATGACTAAGGCCATTCTGGAAGCATCAAGTCAAGGTCATGGATGCACTTAGTCTTCAGCTCACCTTTTCCAATGTATTGCAATGTAAGGGTTTTTAAATATTCCTTAATGATCCTCTAGATTTCACCAGTCATCTGTTCTAATAGCTCTGTAATCTCTAATTTTATTGGCTTTGGTTTCCATTACTTTTCTTTCTTAGTTTGGCTAAGCATTTGTCTACCTTATCATTTCAAAGAACTGTTTCTTTCATTAATTTTTGTATTATTCTTTTAATTCCTGTTTCATTGATTTGCACCCTGATTGCTAGTATTGCTCCCTATTTCTTTGAAGTTTAACTTGCTTGCAAACAATTTGAATATATCATTGGGCTATTTGAAATCTCTTTGACTTTTAATATGGGTATTCACATCTCTAAACTTATCTCTTAGAACTGCCTTTGCCCTACCCAAAGGAGTCCAGTAGTCTATAGTTTCATTTGTTTTTACTGGTTTCTGTATTTTAAAAATTTACTCCCTGATCATTCAGAAGTATATATGTGAATCTTCATGTTTTTATAGATTCTGTAGTTGTTCTTGCTAATAAAAACATATTTCTTAGAATAGTATAAGAAGTCGTGTAAGGCTCAAGATTCAGGCTTGAGTTCTAGAAGAGTTAAAAGGAATATTATTTTCCTTTGTGGCAGCATTACTTTTAAAAAAAGATTTATTTTTATTTTATGTGTATGTATGTTTGCTTGTATGTGTACCACGTGCATTCCTGATGTCTCAGGAAGCCAGAAGAGGGTGTCAGATTCCCTTGGAACTGGAGTTAAAGATCATTGTGAGAGACCATATGGGTTTTGGGAACGGCACCTAGGCTCTATGTAAAGAGCAATATGTGCTCTTAACCAATAGGCTATCCTTCCCAGCTTCATGGTAACATTGCTTTTACTTTTAATTTCTCAGGTGATCATCAATTTAGTAATTTAAGTGTATTTTTCCCTCACATAAAATATATTTGTCTGGATATCAGGCATCAAAACATTGACACCATCCTAGAGTTTTTACTTTGTTTACATGGTTTTATGTTTAGGGATTATTCCAGATGAATACATAGACACAGTTTTTTTTTGTTTTGTTTTGTTTTGTTTTGTTTTGTTTTTTTTCCTGTTGAAGGAAAAACCTCTCAGAAAGATCCCTTGATCTATCAACACACAAAAGCATCTTCAGGAACTCCTAAGCAGTGTAAAATAGGTTAAGCAGACTGAAGATTATTGGCAGAGGAAAAGTAAATCCTTGTAAAGAGTGAAGTATTGGCTTAGAGATTTTAGTTTGTTTGGTTTTATTTGGGTTTTGTCTTTGAGACAAGGTCTCACTATGTAGCCCAGGTTGCCATTGAACTCTAGATCCTCCCTCGGTATTTTCCCACAGTGGAGACAACAGGTGTGTGCCAGCAAACCTATCTTAGGTGGGGGATTTAATAACTATAGTTGGTATCAGTGTAAAAGTTGAATGAAATAATAACTATAATTTGCATATTGTGGAATTTACACATCTTGTTTATTGAAATAGCCCTGTAGTGATTATCACCATTGCCATTCTCTTAGGCAGGGGACCAGAGAGTAGCATCTTCCTCTGCTTCCCTTCAGTTTCCCACCAGGGAGTCTAAGGTGAAAAACCTGAAAGCCAAAGTAAAATCTCAGCTACTGTGAAGCCACTGACTATGAGCTTTCCACAGAAGTCTTGGCAGCAACGGAAACATTCAGCATCTGTGCTCTCCAGTGTAGCAGCCACTAGCCACATGGGGCTCCTGACACCTGAAATGGCCAGTGTGGCTGAAGAACTGTACTTATAGTTTTGTTGACTCTTTATATCTTTCTCTATGGATAGGATGTCAATAGACTATCTTTGCCTGTTGAGTTGACTGCCAATATATGAGCACCCAAGAACATCTCAGTGTTGTCATTGTCATTGTGCTAGCTAATACATCCCTACAAGCCATACATATGACAGTATTAGAATCATGATGCTAATATATGCTAATATATGCCTACAGCAGTAGTTATTATAGTGAGACACACACACCACATGACAGTCTTAGTGTCATGTATCATGTAGGGACTTGGGGATTCAAATTCCTGACCCCAATCATTAATATTTACTCAATCAGGGGACAGGATACTGTCCCCTCCCTGCACCCAAAGCTGGTAGTGGCATTGCTATCAAAATGGTGAAAACAGAAGCTGTTGGAGTCAAAGTTGTAGTTCCTGGGTCTGATTTTGCCACTTGAATTAGGAGGGAAGTTGTTCAGGATTGTCCAAACCATTTCAAGAGCACACACATCTTTCCTCCTACTGTATTCTATAATCTATGTGCTCTAGAAGGCACATGGATTCCCAACTGTGGAAACAGGGGCACTGAGAATAGAAGGACTTTGTTCCCCTCACAAGGTCACTCGGTGGCAGCCCTAAGAATCAGCCACTAGGGCTTCCTTTAGTTCCTAATGTATTTAATCTGGGAGCTTTTTTAAACTCTGGGCATCATCCTCTTTAGCTTACCCAGCAAGCTATAAATTAAGCAGCCGCACCTCCTCAGACTTTTAGGATGCTTTTCTATTGTGTCAGATCCTAAGTGCACAATTGCTAAACCACTCTGTGCATACGTACAGAGAACTAGTTATAGCTCTCCGTAGGCCAGGCTCTCTGGAACTCTTACTGCTTTTGAGATTGTAGCTTGTTAAGATGGATCCAGTAAATCCTATGACTTCTTTTGGTCAAGAATGCTGTCCATTTCAGTCTGAATGTTTGTATTTCAGTAACCAATGAACTGTCAAATTCTGCTCTTACAGGAAAAGTAGTTAAACACCCAAATCTATCTTTTTTTTCAGCTATTATTTCTTTGTACATTTCATTTGTAGTCTTAACAGGAATTCTTCCCATAAAAATTTTCCCTTTCAGCCTTCGAAATCAGAGTGTATGTAAGCACTCTGTCTTTAGTTAAATCCCACAACCAAGAGAGCAAAGCAAAATCTAAGCTGCTGGAGGAAAAGGTAAACCACAGACTGTTCTTTCTCCATTTCCGATGTGGTGAAACTAAGGGTTCTTCCGCATGGCACTCTACATCCCATTTCATCAAGAATATTTTGTGTATCTTGTGCTCTGCTCTCTGGACACTGGCCCCCTTCTTCCCTTCTCCCCCCCCCAATCCTTTCCCCCTTTGGTGTGTGGCCACCGACAGAAATTTATGACAGGGGCCAGCCTCCTTTACAGTGCACACAAAGCTTGCTGACTTGAGAGACTTTGTCAGCGTCCTCCCAGAAAAAACACCTGCAGGACGCTCTCTGAGAAACCTGGAGAGATGGGAGATTAATGTGGTTGTAATAGCCGGGCAGGGGTTTGGGTATTATGCCCTCTCCCCAGGTAGATGGGTCTTTTCTGAGATGATACCAATTATTTATAGCTGAAACATCTGTTGATAACTGCAGCTGCCCTTGTAAAACAAAGCATATCTTGGGGTCACAGGCTACAGGGACCTAAAACCCTACCTCATGCTAGCTTTGGTCTATTCAGTATCACCCCAATCCATGGGTTACCATCATCTTTAATGTCTCATCATGCCACGGAAAACACTTTGCAAACACCGCACTGGCCTGCCCTGAGGGCTTTGAAGCATTATTTCATCTTCATCGGTAATTTATATTCCAGTGCCATTGTGCTGTGGGAAAGAGAGGGGAGGCCTTTTTTGTTTTCCATTTAATTGTATATCGCCTGACACTTTGACCTGTATTATTAGTATCAGTCAGAAAAAGGATTTTCTCTCCCTCTTATTTAAAAATGAAATTTCAAGGGAAAGTAAGCACTCCTTCAGCTCTTTTCACTCAAAACAATGTTTACACTCTAAGACGAGATGATGAAAAGCAAAAGCAACCCTTTTTCAAGTGCAGGAGAAGGGCACTGCAGTTTTTGAAAGAGAACAGTACAGCCCGTATAGATATCATTCAGCAAAACCTTTGATGGAGTTTTCAAAACCCAGTGAAGGCATTTGGCACTGGCCTCTGTGGCGCTCCCCTCTGGGTTGCAGGGTCTGGCACTGCGAGGAAAGTCTGTCCTTGCTCCTGAAGCATGTGGGGAAGATGGGTCCAAGTTGCTATATGGATGCCTCTTTGGGGAATCTTTTCAGTAGCTTTCATTTTTTTTCTAAAACTAATGATAACTACTTAAAGAGAAATCTGGAAATCGAGCTTTTTTAATAGGGAGGGCTGGGTTTTCCACGTCTATGGCGGTTGGGAACTGAATTGTTCATTAGACCTGAATTTGAAACTCCCTGCATTGAGTTGGGGTCCAGTTGGTGGTACTGGACTAGGTAATCCCCACTTGTCTCAGAAAGGGGGGACCTGCCCTTAGTCACCCCTCCCTCTATATTGGCTCCCTGTGCAGGAGATAGAGGTGATGTGTCATTGTTTGACACAAAACTATGGTCTAAGAAGATAAAGCAGGCTCAGGGTGGATTCATTTTTCTTGCTCTGAAATGGGTAGTCTGTAAATATTATGCCACAGGAA